CCTTCCTTCTTTCCTTCCTTCCTTCCTTCCTTCCTTCCTTCTTTTCCTTCCTGTCCTTCCTTTCCTTCCTTTCCTCCCTTTCCTTTCTTTCCTTACCCCTAGGAACCAAACAATTGTGGAGAGAGAATGAACCAGACATGCTTAGCAACATTCTTTAAGCAGTAGTCAAAAGTAGGCTAACTCTATGTAATTGCACAGTCAGCTAAGGAGCCCAGCACCAGTGACTCCTAGTTCTTTAATGGATTATTTTAAGACATGCTGTGTCATCAAACTCCTGATATAGAGGACGATACCATGGATAAACACAGACATCAAAGTGTCTGAGTCAAATGCAGAATGTGAAAAAGTTTTAGGAGTACCTAAACCAATTTTTTTCACTTAAGGTTCCATTTTTTGCATGTACAAGTATGACATGATAAAATAATCTGTCTAATTAAATATATAAAAGCCCTTTCAGGAAGTATAAAAGAAACATTCTGATTATGTCATAGTTTAACTTGCAGGTATTTTGTTTCTTAATAGCACATACAATAATAGCATCTTAGAGTCAGTGAAAGAAAGCATTCAGTTTGGAGATTTAGTACCTTCCCTGCTTCTCATAAAATGAATAGTTAATGAGCTTGAATAGGGCAAAATGTTATCTATACTGCATTTCTAAATGCTGGCTGCATTCCATTTTAACAAAAAGCTAAAAACTATTCTTATTTTTGGTTGAGAAAGGGACTTCTCTTTTTGTCCAAGACTTAATAGCATGTGGCCTCTATTTAACTATCCCAAATATTTCTTGGGAGAAGAAATGCTGTTAATTCGGTTTTGCAAGTATGTTTTTCTTGAGAGTGTTGGGTTGACTCTTGTTTCCTTTGCTAGGGGTGCAGGCTGCATCTTTATTGAAATGTTCCAGGGTCAACCTTTGTTTCCTGGGGTTTCCAGCATCCTTGAACAGCTGGAGAGGATCTGGGAGGTAAGAGAAGAATTCCTCTTGGGAAGAAGAAATATCTGCATTTCAAACTTTGAACCAGATTTGCCTTAGAGATGAATGACGCAGTCCATCTGTTTTGAGCTATTAAGACATGTCTTAAGATTGTGGAAACTGTGGTATTTGTCACAGGTATAATAAGCACCTTGGGAATGAGTGGTCAGGAAACCCCCTTTGTCCTGTAGAAGCCCATGAATCCACCTGCTTTCTTTTATTATTGTCTCAATCTCCCAGGGCAATTTCTGCCATTAATACTTAAGCACATTTTTTCCACCCTGCCACCCCCAGCTCTAATTCTACCATATATTTGGCCCTAGGTCTTGTCAACTGAAGACAAGACACTAAATTTTCATAGAACCCCAATAAAAACAAAGACTTACCATGTTAGTGTGAGAGAAAGACAGTATTTATCATGCTCCTCCAAAACCAAATTCCTAAGGTATTGATGTGCTTTTGTGTGTGTTGTTCCATTTCTTTCTTTATTATTTATCTCTGCCTCATTTGCACCACGATGTACTTCATTTTCATGTCCCTTGTAGCTTGCATGCTATGTTAGTCATCTGCATATTTCTCTATTTCTCTAATTTCTAAAATTGTTGTAAAATATATGTAAAATGTATTCTTCTAAGCACTTTAAGCGCACAGTTCATTGGCACTATATACAACCACACTATTGTGCAACCATCACCACCATTCATTTCTAAGACTTTTTTATCATCCCAAACAAAAGCTCATACCCATTAAACAATAACTCCCCCTTTACCCTCCTCCCAGCCACTGGTAACCTCTCATCTACTTTCTGTCTCTATGATTTGCCTGTTCTAGGTATCTCATGTTAGTAGAATCATACAGAATTTGTTCTCTATGTCTAGTTTCTTTCACTTAGCATAACACTTTCAAGGTTCATCCACGTTGTAGCATGTGTCAAAAATGCTTTAAGCTGGGTTTTTTAAAAAATCACTTGTTATCCTAGATCCTGCTTCCTTTCAAGTTTGCTTGCTGCAAGCAGGTATCTATCTGGAGCATTCTTGCTAACAGCCTCTGATGCAGGTATCTTAGGAAATATTGCCAGAGTAGGGTTTTTGTATGCAGGTGAGGAAATCTGTCTTCTCTCAATTTTCTCAATTTTTCTCCTTTACAATTTTGATTTAGTAACCCCAAACTTTTGCCTGTCCTGAAATATAAAATTTTTATTTTCAAATTATATTCCCAATGTGGAGTCTGTCATTTATTTATTTTTTTTTTAAGTTGAGTTTGTCTTTAATACACACACAAAAAAATGAGGAAAACTCCTTAGGGAACACTGGGGGAAAAGGGAAAAGAGTTGCCGGCATATGGAGGGTCATCAACTCATGTCTATGAAGACGTTCTATGCAAATCAGTCTAGTGCTATAGATTCATGACCCAGAAGATGTCTTCTGGCTAAAATAAAATGTGGTTTGAGAAATTAAGACATTTCATAGAGGTTAATCATTGCCATTAAAATTTTCTTTTGGAAACATGGGGGTCTTTACAAGGGAGCATAGGAAAAATTGAGAAGCATTTACAAACTACGAAAATATTTTCAAACCAAAAGATTTTTTTCCCCAAAATTCCCCTGCAAGACAGATAAATGCTATCTTCAAACATCGTCACTGGATGCCATAACACCATTTAAGCTGGAGATAGCCTAATGTAATAATGCTTTGGAGTTTGGGTTTGACTTTTAGCCCCTTTCTAGCTAAATAAATGTGAGCAAGTTATATAGTCCCTCTGAGCTTCAGTTTCCTTGTTTGTTAAATGGGGCTAGTGATAATGACTTTCTAACCTTGCTGTCAGAACTCCATAAGATGAAATGCCTAACAAGCTCCATGCACCAAAAGCGCTCAATAAATATGCGCTGCCTTCTTTTCTCATATAAGTTATTATTATAGAGATGTTTCAATAACCTAAGTGCTAAAAAGCACTTCCTGATACATAACCTAATTGTTCTTCCACTTGGTATTACTTCTTGTCCACAATAGAGGAATCACAATTAGCACTGCCTAAACCTGACCTTGCAATGACCTTTACACATTGGAAGAGTAGTTCTTAGTCACTTAATTAGTAAACAACACTAATTGGACACTCACCATATAAAATACTCTACAAGGTCTTATAAGAAGCTATAAGGCATGGAAAAAAGGAAGAACAAGAAAAATGAATGATGTGTGCTTTCAAGTGTTCAGTCTAGATGGTGTCAAAGATGAAGTACAAGTAAATATATGTGAAACAAACATACTTTGTGTATATATATGAAAGGATATATGTGTAGTTAGTTAATATAAATTGTAATATTGAAATAAGGTATGTTATCAGGATATTTGAAAAGTTGTATATAAACTGATTTTTTAATTTTACATACTATCTTTAAATAATCGTGCTTTTAAAAGCAATCATTTTACAGTTCTTTGCATTTAGCACAGCACTTAGAAATCATAAAACAGAAAGAATGGGCTAGACGTTTCCCATGACCCAATGGCTTTCTGGTTATTGGTTCGTTTCCAGGACTGGCATTGCTAACTGACACTGGCCATCTGAAGATGTTTTAGGTAATTCAGTAAGTGAAAAAATTTGGACTTGAATCTGGACATAAAGTGCCAAAACATGAGTGATGCAGGAAAAACAAACATGTCTTAACAAATCAGTCCAACAGTTCCTGCCCAGGAAGCCATGTTTATTTCTACTATTATTCTTATCACACTGCAATCAATCAAAGGGACTTTATTTTGACATTTATGACAACTCATTATAAATTTAAAACAAGTAAACATATTAGAAATAACAGTAGCCTGCAGTCAGGAGACATGCATTCTGAACCCAGCTCTAGCGTCAGGTAATGAGGTAAAGCAAGTCACATAGCCAACCTCCCCGGGTTTCCAGCATCTTAAATGTTAAAGATGCTCCTTGACTTATGATAAGTCACCTCCCAATACATACCTACCATAAGCTGAAAATATCATTACGTTCAGGGATCCCCAACCCCCAGGCTGCTGACTGGTAAAGGTCCATGGCCTGTTAGGAACCAGGCCGCAAAGCAGGAAGTGAGTGGCAGTCAAGCAAGTGTAGCTTTGTCTGTATCTGCAGCCGCTTCCCAGAGTTAGCATCACCACCTCAGCTCCACCTCAGATCATCAGGCATTAGATTCTCACAGGAGCACCAGTCCCTGGTGCCAAAAAAGTTGAGGACCACTGGTTAAGTTGAACCATAGTAAGTTGGGGACCACCTGTATTTGATTTTCTGACTCCATGAAATTGTGACTTCTTTAAACAAAGTGTAAAGAGAATATTGTAGCTCCTATCATTTTAAACCATAATATTCTTCTCTGTTTATTAGATTCCTCCCCTTCCCAGGTAGTTATTTCTCAAGTTTGTCAACTTGGATAGCTCATTGTTGACTTTCAATTTGATCAAAGAGATAGTTCCTTCCATATTGATTAGCCATACTTTAAGGGCACCAGGAAATCAGATTCACTATATTTCATTTTCCCCCAATCCTTTCAGAGGAGGTAGAAACCATAGTTTTGTTATCATGTCTGTAGTTCCACACTCTGAGGACAAAGTGAAAAAGCCACCATATTCAGCAGAGTGTTATTTTTAGCACTACTACATCTCAAGCCAGTTAGAAATTTAAACATTACATACAGCTCCTGAATTTGTTTTTACTAAATGTGGTCTACACAAATGAAAATAAGAAATCAATTTCTAGTTCTATGACACTGGGTATAGGAATGACTTCTATGAAAGCAATGTGTCCATTCTAAATCTCCTAACCTCTAACTACAGTCTTCCCCTAAATTTTCCTGAGATCTCACTCTTAGGAATAAAGACATAATGAGAAGTCCTTAATTCTTCTTTTACCATTTTTGTAAAATAACTGTGTGTGTGTGTGTGTGTGTGTGTGTGTGTGTGTGTGTGTTCACATATGAATAACTGCTTTCCGATCAATTTTTTAGACATCTAATTCTTTCAATAAGTGTGGTTCTAAAATCAGAATAAAATGAACTCTGCAGACTTTAAATCCATTAATCAAAATGTATTCAGTTTCCATTCCAACAAAGGCAGAAAATGGCCCCTGCAGCCCACTGTGGTTTCAAATACAGCACTTACTAGCTGCCTTTTAAGAGCCTTCAGGGAGGGAGTAAATCAACAATTTTTGGTTTTCAGTTTCCCAGACAGTTAAATGGAGATTTAGTAATTTTCTCAAGTGAAAACAAATTCAATAACTTTCAAGTAGAAACTGAGCATCAAATTTCCAAATAAAAGACATTGAATTTTTGTTTAAACTTTTAAAATCTCAAGCTTAAAACGTTTAGCATAATATTTAAAAATTATTGGTATCCATTTTGTTGGCTTTAATTAAACATAATACAAAATAACCAACAATTCTGGTAACATTCACCTTAGAAAAAATATGGATGCGGTAGTTATTTATTTCCTGTATTGCTTTCTCTTTATTATCTTTGCCTTCTTCTCATTGTGCTTTGTCAGTCAATGAAGACGTATGGGTAAATGTGAATCACACCCACTTGCTTACATGCACTTCTTGTGCAAATACCTAAGATGGTACATTACAAAAGAGGAATTAGCTACCCATCCTCTGGCCCTCACCTACAAAAGAATTAGTCCATTCGGTTTTTCAACATGGATTCCAGGATTCCTAGTGTTTCCTCAGGCTCAGGGTGGTCAGTAAGAAGAGCCTATAATCCTCTCAGGAGCTTTCCAGTTTGTTTAGAGAATGGATCAAAGAAAGATTTTACTGGATGGCATGATTTTTTAAATTAATATTATGAGGGAAAATAGCACTTCAGTATCTATTGTTTGAGGACAAGCATAACAGGCACTACAGAGTATCCCTCAGCCAGAGTCTTAGTCAGCGAGCTGGTAAATATTAAGATTCTGGATTCCTCATTGATTAGTATGAGTCAGTTATTGGGCAGAAGTTCCTCATTATCAGTCAATTGACTTCCTGCCATTAACAATTGGCCTAGCATCTGTATCCAGCATTTTACAAATGGATTCACTAGACTCTTTCTACAAGAGATGCTTCTAAAAAGAGTTACATAGAGATATACTTCTAAGAAAAGTTATATTGTAGTGGTGTAAGAAAAACTACTAACATTTTACAAAAACAACGTTATTCTAGCTCTCAAACTAACTGACATAGGGCTGTTATGATTATTTTAAAAGAATAGTAAGATGATACCTATATGGGAACTCGCAGAAACAGCACCACCCAAAATCTGAAATGTTTTGACTGTGCTCCAAAAGACTTTCGTTTTCATATTAATTCAAAACTAGAGCTTCGGTTTAGTAATCCAAAGTATAAGTGAGCAATTCTTCAAGTAATGTTGTTACTATTACAATCCACCAGTTAAAAACCAGTACCATATTCCAAGCGGCTGGCCACAGAAAAACAAGCAGATGAGATGACTTTGGTAAAAGTACTAGAGTTAGGTATGGGATCATTTTTAGCCAACTTCCCACTGCCTAAATGTCAGTAATCTGAACTCTTTTTAATTTGAGCTCATCTCAGAACAGCTGAATGCCCATGCTGAGGCATAATTTAAGCTGTCGAGATGAATATATACAGATGTATATTCATCTGATGTAAGGCAAAGGGACAATATCCATATCCCCAATTTCTAACGTAGCATCTTAATGTATAGTGGTCATGCAATAAGTATTTAATGATAAGAATATGACTTTAAGCAAGGCTGTATGATCTGCCTCAGAATAACAAGTAAGTTAGTGAAAACACAGACTCAGAACCTATATTAGGATTCTCCAGGTAAACAGAATCAATAGGATATACAGAGATATGTAAAAGATTTATTATGGGAATTGGCTCCTGCAATTATGGAGGCTGAGATAAGCCATCTGCAAGCTGGAGAACCAGAAAAGCCAGTGGTATTATTCAGTCTGAGGTCAAAGGCCTGAGAATTGAGGGGGCTGCTAGTAGTAAGTCCCAGAATCTGAAGGCCCGAGAACCAGAATCGCTGATATCTGATGTCAGGAGATGATGGACATTTTAGTTCAAGAAGAGAAAGCGAGAAGTTGCCCTTCCTTTACTTTTTTGTTCTGTTCGGACCCTCAGTGATTTGGATGATGCCTGTACACATGGGTGAGGATAGATCTCTACTCAGTCTATTGATTTAAATACTGACCTCTTCTGGAAAGACTTCCAGAAATAATGTTTTACGAGCTTTCTGGGCATTCCTTAGCCCAGGCAAGTCGACACATAAAATTAGCCATCACGGGAACGTAGGAATATACTTAGTTTTGCTATGGTGTAATGTGACCTACATCTGACTCTTCCCTAGTGCTCCCTAGTCTGTCCTTCTGGCCTTCACACTTGCTTCATCCACCTCGTCTTCTCCCTCATTTTTCTCTGTCTTTGGCTTTATATAGGTGTTGGGAGTCCCTACAGAGGATACTTGGCCTGGAGTTTCCAAACTACCTAACTACAATCCAGGTAATAACCGATTTGAGCTTCTGAATGCTCTGAGAATTAGCAGTGTGAAAGATTTGGCTATGCAGTATGTCCTTCTTTTATTATTAACTCAACAGCAAAGATAGGTCTAGACAAATTTTTGGATTCATATCATTCCCCGACTAACCCTTTTATGAGGAGGACACTGAAATAGTGCTGGAGGTTAGATCAATTCCCCAACTCCGTAAAACACAAGTAGTAAACTAAATAAGAATTTCAAATGACTATTACTATGGAGTCCACATCGGTTTCCAAATACCCAATATCTCAGAGAAATAACTCAAAAATAGTCTCACTTTTGAGCCCCATGACTATCGTTGACTTATATGCTAATACAACAGAGGGGAAATGGAGGCTCACCGGGCTCATTAGACATGGGATAAGCCAAGTAAGTTGTCTCTAGATTATATAAGAGTTCACCCACTTACCTCTAGACCTGATATTTGGTCATTTTCTGTCACATATTTGGTCCTCTAAGACTGGCTCCTAGGGTGGATTTGGAAGTATTGAAAGTGTTGCCCATGGGAGAAGTCTTTGAGATATGGTCCCAAGGCCAAAGCTGAGGGGACAGATTTCCCAGTTGTCACATTAAGGATGTTGAGACAAAAGGGAGGAGACAAACAGTGAGTTATAGGATGAAGGAATGTACCAGAGGCTGGAGAAGCAAGGAATGGCCATAGCAAAGCTGGACTCATGCTGGCAGGATTAAACGGGAGGTGTATATATACAGATAAGGACAAGATTAGGATAAATGTGGCCTGAGTCACATTTTCTAGTCTTTATATTCTTACATCATCCCATTAGTAAAAACGAATTTTCCCCCAATTGTTGTCATTACAAACTTTAGTATGAGATTATCCTGGAGGGGTTTTATGAAAGCATGAAACTGTAAAAGAATTAGAAAGGTGATTAAAGAGCAAAACAAAAGACATAGGAGACTAAGGATTTTTTTTTTCTTCTCTTCTCCAGCATCTAATATTTTTTTTTGAGCAGCTATACATAGGGATCAGGTATCTCAAACTTATCAAGATTATGGAACCCTTACAGCAAGCTAAAGACTTACTGTAAAATCATTTCGGCTACTATGAGAATACCCTTGTGATTGCTAAATGACTTTTGGGTCATTTACAAATAGTTTAGCATTTCTATTTGGCTAATTAAGCACCTGAGAAAAATGCTGCTGTCTGGCCACGGGGCTTTCCTTTTCCTTTTCCCTTTTGTCTAAGATAGAAAAAAGAAGAAGCTTCTTGTGGAGAACATGATCCAGTCTGCAATAGGTCCTATGTCCACTTGCCATGGTTTCTAGGAGAACCTGGCTCTCATCTTTTC